AAGAGTGAAATTCAGAAAGGCTCCAGCAGAACAAAGCATTGAGGAAGAATTATTAATATGAAGATCCGAAGGAGGAATAGACTTTCCAAAGACATATGGTGGGATTCAGCAGGTGCAGATTTACCAGGGGGCTCAATCCCCCCCCCCCATTAGCACCAGCTGGTGCAACAACACACTTCAATGTCCCAAGCCGCAGTCGCCGAGACACCCTGTGCGGTTCCTTCACTCCAACAGGAGCAGCGTCCACTCCGTCCTCCTCTGCCCTGGTTCTCATGAAAACCTCGTACACTTTCCCCCACAGGAGAGCTGCACCAGTCGCCAGACGAATGGAACAGACCTCTTCCCTCCAAATCAGTTACAAAATGTTAATTTCTTTTTATTGCTCTAGCTTTGGAGGAGGAGGGAGGGGTTAATGATCTGTCTCCAATTTTTGCCTGCTGCAATTTAAATATCTTCCTTAGATACTTACTAAAAAAACAAACCAAAACCAAGCACGTTGGTGTATAGCCCAGTTTAACATTTGTTTTTTCCCTTTGGACAGGGAGCTCTTTGAAAATAAAACAACAAAACATCCATAGGATACCAAAGAACGGCTGACAAATTCACATGCCTTTTTGGCCAGAAAACATCTATTGTGGAGCATCTCAACCACGCAGGCCCATTTGAGTTGGAATATTTAAAAGAGACACCCACTTCTTCCTGAAAGCTGATGGGGCTCAGTGTGTCGGGACACGTCCACACATACGAGGATGGACAGACCAGAATATTTCTGCTCGTGCTCCAAGCTGCAAGCAAGACGGTCAGAAAGCTGAATGGTTACAAAAGAAAAGCACTCTGCCCGAGCTAATGTGCACTGGGAAATCGAGGAGCAACATACACACCATATTTCAAACACCTGCTAAATACCAAAGGGTGAGGACACGGAGATGAGGGAGTGCATTTACACGGCTTTAGGACTGGAGCGGGTTTGCTCCTGACCAGCTCAGGATGCTAGCAGAGGCTGGGGCAGTCTGTCTGTCTGTCCCCATCTCTACAGACGTGCTCCGATACACATGACCTCTGCAATCACAGCCCCTGCGTATTACATCAGCATAAAAAAAGGGCCATTATGTCCCTGGATGAAAACTCACTGTTGCTCCTAGTTATGCACAAGAATCCAGGAAGAGATCTGAGTCAACAAATTTAAATTACCCAAGAAAAGGAGTTTGTTCATTTTGCCTCTGAAAACCCAGCAGGTAATTCTGAGGCTATAACGAAAAAGAGCAAAACAAGGCAGAGGAGAGAGCAAAACAACCAGAGATAAATAAGAAGGAAAAAAAGTAACATAAAAACCTTAGAATTACACTTTAAAACCATGCTGGAAAAGAGCTATGGGACACTGGAAATGTGGAAGCTGGAAGAGGAACCAGATAGCACAGCTATGTCCTACAAGACCGTTGTCTCACGGACGTTTAAGTGGTGAACTGCCAGACTGCTAAAACTACTTGCTAGGGTTACCAGCCTGCAGCGAGTCATGAATGATGAAAAGATTAAGAAGAGTTAGTGAGTTGAAACGAATGCTTCCTCGCCTGGAAACATTTTAGGCAGAAAGGAGGAGGAGTTGTAAAACTGCTACCTGGCCGAAACCCAAGTCCCAGTTCGCAGTGTGTAACGGAGTAAGGAAGGCTGAAGAAGCAGCTCTTGGAATAGCGGACACAACGAACACCAGGCATCAACAAGAAGGGATTAGAGTAACATGCAGAAAAAGGGAAACATATGACAGACAGAGATGAATATATGGAGATAAAAGCTGTTAAACAGGCCTGGCTTGAGGGAACAGATTGAGCTGAGACCACCAAAAAAAGAAAAAAGTGGAAAACTCTTAGAGTCCATTTGCAAAATGTTTATAAAAATCACATATTATTCATTTCAAATGACCGAGAAATTAACTCCAAAGTTCTCAGAACTGCAAAATTCCTGATGGTGGTACAAAGAAAATAAATTAAAAATACGTTGAGGAAAAGGCAGAAAATGTTACCTGGCATTAAAAAAGACAAATATAAAATAGCCAGGCAATGCTTGTAAAGAGCAAAACCAGAAGAAAATATATCTCTTATCTGCGCAGAGATCCTTTGTCACCCTACCGTGACATGTAAGCGGGCACAGCCCAAAAACTATCTAGATACGACACATGGGTTCAGAAAGATTTCCAGGCTTCTCTACTTGCCTAGAGCACAGCAATACGATTTTCCAGCACATTAGGGAAGCAAAACTAGAACCAAAAAAATCCTACGAACTGGCTGGATTTTGCTAATGTCACTTAAAATGGAGGAAGAAATCCTCGCAAGATACCAAATAGAGTGCAGCAGATGGTAAACAAATATTATGAAGCAATCTTCACAAAATCTGCAGTGTGTCACAAATATACAAAATGGCAGAGTTTAGATAAAAGGATCGTAACAGGCCATATGTTGTTAGTGATTTTATTTGTAGCAACGTGTAATACAATGGTGAAATCCGCATAAAGGTCCTACAGTAGGATAAGTGCAGCCCCAGGTAGGAGCTGCAATGGATGGTACGCCGTAGATAACAATAACTAAACAACCAGTAGAGGAGCCTGCACTGGATGGCAATTATCCACCTCTGAAGCAGCAATGAAGCAGGTGAGAACGAAGCTTAAGCTGGAAAAATCTAGGCATTTGATATGGAAAAATTAACCAGAAAAATCACGCATCAATATACATAACATATTTTAGATGCCAGTTAAATGGCAGGGGAAATGGTTTTGTGCAGATGTAAATGACAGACTAGAGACATGAACTGAAAGCACAGAAGCAGATGTTAGAAGACACAACAAAATAAGTATTTCCAGGAAAGTTCTACACATGGTACCATTAATATGGGCTACTGCCCTGATTGCAGCGACTGCTACTGGTGCATGAAGTTCAAACAAAGCTAATGTGTGATGTGGGAGGTATGTAAAAAAAAAAATTAACAAATCATAAAAAAAAAAAAATGGCAAGGTCTGGAGCCGAGTTTTGCTCAGGTCTCTGTAGAAAGTCTTGTTCTAAAAAGCAGGGCAGGAGGAATGTCAAGGCTACAGAGAAATAACACTCAATCTCCATTCATGTTTCTGGTGTTTTAGGAGGGGAAAACACAAACATATGAAAAGAAAGATAAAAAGCACTAAATAGTACTTGAAGGACCATAAAACAGTATTTCCTTTGATTATCTACACACAGAATTATCCATGAAGCTCTAAAAAGGGGAGAAATGCTAATGAGAATGCAAAGCTCTACATCTTGTCCTATCTGCTCTCCCACCTTCAGTGTCACTACCGTACTCATATAACACTTCTAATCCCCTCCAGCTCCTTCTTGCTATTTCATTTCTATCAAAGGAAAACACAGTTACATAGGGAAAAAATATAATAGACATTAAAAGGGAATAGCAGGAGCCCTCTCCACTTGGAAGAAAACTCCAGCTCGACACCTTATCCCCTAAGACACAGATGTTTGACCCCCCTTTGCAGCTTATTGCTCTCCAGATACGACAGTGCCCCAGGAACCCCTCAAAAAATAAACAGGCTTCAAAGAATAGAGATGAAATAAATATTAGCAGATACAGGTCTAAATCTGCACTGACATACTCACTGAGAGCTTTCCTAACTCAGCAAAAGCATAATATAACCACCTTCATGACGTGCAAGTGTCATTATGGACAACCCCAATCTACAGTTTTCTCAGATCCTACACAGAAGCTATTTTTCCCAGCTTCTTGACCAGCCCCACACGGCCCTTTTGAAGTTACTACTACTCCCCAAGTCTAACCAGGTGGCATTTTCCTGCAGCTCTCATTCAGCTTCAGCTCCTAGAGAAGGTATAACCACTGACACCTCCCGCTCCCGCACAGGAGACAGAGAAGATGGTGTATTTAGCTTGATCTCAGCAGAAGGAAAAAAAAGGAAAACTAAAACCACAGCAGTCCTTCCAGCAAAACACAGATATTTGTTCCAGTGAAAGGAAACATCAATTTCTAATGCTGCTATACTTGGTACAAAATCTGTACGTTGTACCGTATTTCTGTAAAAGCGGCTGCTCTTTTGGTTTCTTCCAATGGGGGATTAAAATTTTAAACTTAGACCTACAGGTACTTTATACTTTTAATTTAATTCAAGCAATATAATTGCAGTGAGGAGGAAGAGCATGGTAAGGTCATGCTGGTAATTAAAGCTATATTGTAGAAATATGCTCATTCGAGATGTGATTAAATAATAAAATATTGCTTAGTTCAGTATCATCATTAAACTTGCATTAATGCATAAATATTTAACTGTAACATATAATGAACGTAAACATTTATTTAAAAAATGACAGCTCTATAATGTGACAAAGGACAGAGTTTATACAAGTCATACTCACACTCGAACGCTGTTGTCGTTGCATCCGGCAAAACTTGACCGATGACATCCTAAAATGTAAAGAAGAATTAGCTATATATCGAATAGGAAACGCCTGAGATGATTTAGAGTAAATCACCTTAATCACTCCCCCAGCTGCAGGCTGAAGACTTTAAGACCTGCGACTCACCACTGCCCCAAAATTACAAACTTTCTAGCACACAACGCAGATCAGCACAAATCACAGTGCTCTTGTCCTTCCCCTCCACATTACCTCAAGGAAAGCTGTTTTCTTTCCAAATAACTCAATCATAATTGCAAACAAGTCAGTGTTACCTGTTCTTGCAGTTTAAAGAATCGATTTTGTCCGTAGGTTATAGAAAACTGTACATCTAACTCATCCAAGTCAGTCACAAAATCAGAGGTTTATGAACAGCTTTTTCCTTAAGAAAGCACGTTCTCTCTCTCAGTCCTGCTTACATCACCCTGATTCCTCCTCTCCATCTCCGAACAACTGCCCTGGTCCTCCCTCCCATCACAAGGGAACCTCATCACACAGCTCCATCTCCTGCCCTGCCTGCAGCTCGGGAACAACGGGGTAACAAACAGCTCCGGAGGGGCTTCGGGCTGCTACCATGAATTAAAACAGAAGCTGGGAGACTGAAGATATTTTTGTTGCTTTCACTCCACAACTGCCCAGGAAAGCGGCAGGACCCAGCGGTTGTGCCGAGCTGCCTGCTGCTGCCTCGCAAAGCAACGCTGTGTCTCACGATGCTCTCCACCCCATGCAAGTCGGAAAGTTTGGAGGGCTCTTTGTCATTCTTAACTGGAATTTAAAACTTCTTCATAATTTGGTAGACGGATTCAAATATGTTGGCTGTCCTGGAGAAAATGAGGTTAAAATATTGAAGAAGTGGGATTACTAACCTAGAAGGTGACCTCTAGCCTTGGCGTCACGACGATGCCATGCAATGCCTTTCTTAGGGGAGATGCAAGCTGCACATACACAAGCCCGTCACAAAACACACCGAACATTTCCAAGCGTTACACGTCTCTGATCCAAACCAGCATTTTTATGCCAATACAAGCCTTTCCTGTACAACTATACCAAGAAGAGGAAAGCTTTTACTTTTTTTTAGCCTTTTCATACAGCTTTTGCTCAAAATTCAGTGAAAAATAAAAAGCTGCTCAGACTGAAGTCACTCTGACTCCCCAGTGTATGCGCTGTTGTCAGCCTTCGCGAGGCTGCAACATGTCATATCAGGGCATGGCATAAACGCACAGCATGGTTTTTTCCTTCCTGCTGCCTGATTTCTCATGTCAGACAATCTCTCCACTGACACTGTCACAAAGTGATTAGAAATTAATGAACAACAATATTTATTGTAGTACATACACTGTGAGCATCTCGGGGTGCTAAGCACCCCCCTCTATCAAAGCTTTAGCGATCACTGTCCTGTCACTTTTGTTTTCTCTATTTTTTCATTTAGTCTAAAACCAGGCAATTAAACATTCTGTGCAATGTTACAGAGACACAATTAATACAATGAGAAAGCAGCAAAAGCAAGCTAAAGATTTCCACAGAGCTAACTGAAGCAAGAAATATTTCTAAAACTTTCCCATGTTGTCTTTTCATTTTAGATGCTAAAATAAATCAACGGTATGTAATTTAACCTATTAATTGTATAAAAAAAGACAAAAGATGTGCAATACAGCTTATCTAATTATGTAGACTGTAAATTTGTGGAGATAAATAAGAGGGGGGAGGAACACCAAACATTGCCACGTTAACAAAAATTCTTCCATTTAACCACTTCTACAGGGTTTGACAGCTCTGTCAAAAGCCAACCAAGCTGTATCCTCTGCTCCTAACAAGAAATTAAAGTCTTGCCTAAACAGAAGACTGTACTGTTAACTAATTATTTCTAAATCCATTTAGTTAAACATTGAAAATTCCTCAGCAAACACACTTTAATTGTGTTAGATTTAAGCCACTTGCAAAATGTTCTTATGGGGGCACACAGATGCTTCCATTAAACGGATTTAAAAATTGTTATCAGAAAAGGACCCCAGTTCTGGGGTATTTAAAAACAGTATTTAAGAGGTGTGTAAGCATGGCACTGAGACAGAGACAGTTCTGACAGTCCCTGATGTCTACTAGGAAATCTCCAAGACTCCCAAAGCTGCGACAGCACTGAGACAGTGATGACAAATTCTACACGCACACATCCCCTGATTCAGAATAACTTTTTCTATATATTGGGACTTCTTTAAAATGAGTAGTAATCAATTACATAAATTTAAGAACTATGCACCGTAATTCTGTCTTACACTAAATAAATAGTTAAAAAGAAAACCCTACCAACAGCCACAAGAAAACTTTGCTCTGGTCAACTTTCAATATTTCTATTAAATCAATGCATCTAAGAAAAACTAGCCTTGCAGGGAGCGGGAGGGAGGGGGGGAAATTACACCATTGCTCTGTTGTTACTGTAGTACTGTCATCAGCTACACAAGACTTCCACGCTGAAACATTCAGCAGACCTCTCAGTGACCCAAGCTTAAAGGATTACTCTAAATTTCAACAGATTATGCACGCACAATGATTTTCTACTATCACAACAGAGATCACAAACAATAAAATACTACAACTTGTAGACATTGTTCAAGTGGGCTCACATACACGACAGCTTCTATTTTATCTTACAAAACTGAAAAGACTCTAACAATGAAGAGAAAAATCAAGGAACAGCGGCTGAAGCAAGAACTCCACCAAATCTGCTCTCTAGAAGAGCTGTGGAACACTTATCTCTCGGGTGAGAAAGCAGAAAATGTGAAAGCACTGCTTGAAATGACAGTGTAAATATTGAAACCATGGCACTCACTCTCATAAAGTTATCCTGAATTAACACCAAGCGCTTAAATACTCCAATGACAGCCACGGCAAACAAATCTAGACAGCATGATGAAAAAAATAAGCCCATTGTAATTCCTTTAGTGGTGCCTTTAAAATAAATCTGTTTACTGGTAACCTACAGGTCTGCAAAGCTGATCTACACAGAACATATCTGAAGTGACATTATGAAGAACAGCTCTTAGCACCCAGCTCAGGAAAGTAATCAAGAAAATGCGTAATCTAAACCACACAAGCAGTGCTGCTTCCATGGGTCAAGCACCATCCTACTGTGTCAAGGTCAACCACCAGCACCAACCTGCAGGTATCAGGCTTTCTGGTTTGAATACCTGCTACACAGTTTAGTACCGGTAAAGGTTCCTCCGAGGGACAGAATTAGAGCAGTTGAAAATTAAGAAATGTGTCATTTAGCGCGTAAAACATTGCACTGAGCATCAGACTCCTGACTTCAACAGGTTATTTTATGGCTACAGACAGGATATTTGGTAACTATATACTTCAGCTTCTTTTCTGAAAGATAGAAATAATCGTGCATGCCAGCCTAAAATGCTGCAAGGCTACACTCATTTGTATTCACAAGGCCAGTCACACTTCCAGGATGCTAAATTAACAAAAATCATGTTTAAAAAAAGAAATCTTGCTGTTCTCAAACATAATTTCAGGAGGCTTTCTTAATACAAAGCAGACCATGAGACCTACCTTAGAAGGAAGAACAGCCTTACTACACAGCTAATTCAAGGCTCCCCCAAGCCCCCAGTTCCCACCAATGCTGGAGACCTGCGGGGTATGCACCTGGTTTTTGGAACTGGCTAACAAACGTGCTTCTGCAGTTGAAGGGAAAATGGTACTTCCCATCAAACCGTCAGGACCTCAGCTACACGGGGCAGGCTCGAGCCTGCTGTGCTCTGGACAGCACCACAGAGCCAGATCAGTGCTACAGGGCAAACTACAGGGATTCTGCAGAGCTTGATTGTGCCCCAAACAGCAGGAGCTGAGAAAAAAAAGAGGTACCTTGCATTCCTGTATCTTCAATTTAGCGAGACATGGACAATAAGGGAAACAGCGGCGTCTGACTGGATTATTACTATTCAGTAATTTACCTTAGTAGGGAATGTCTCAGTTCTCCACATTATCTTTAATTGATACTCTAACACATAAGCCCTCTGTAATTGCCTACCAGGTGAGTGGAAATTACAGTGAAGGCAGAAGGACGACAGAAGACTGGGTCAGGCCCACCCCTGCTCTCCCCACCACGCTCGGGGCTCCTCCCCAGCCCCATGCGGTGTCAGATCTACCAAGCTTTAGTGTACGGAGCCTTCCTTCATTTAATTTCTGTAGTTACCAGATAAACTAAGCGCACGCACATACTGTGATGGCACCTCCTGAAACACAATCAGTTAGACAAATGAGGGCCTTGAGACGGTTCAGACCTTATTAAACTTCTTCCCCCTTCTCTTTAGATTTCAGAGTCCGCAAGAGAGGGTTTTCGACAATCATCAAACGGTACTACTGCACGGCCGCACTCCCAGCTAGACACTGTCCTAACACCTGTCATCCGTACATCTGAGATTTCCACTGACGTCAAGAAATGTGTCCTCATCTACTGACTCACCATACGCAATCCAACACTTCCAGTTAGGACGGAGGTACCACTACCCTCGATGCAATAGCCTAACAGTGGGTAACTGAAAATTATCATCACCAACACAGATGTGACCTGATGCAGAAATCTATCCACTTTCACTTGATGAAGACCTGGGACATTTCAATCCAGGAACCATTCATATTCTTCTATCAGTGGGTGGAAATAATTCAATGTGTAGATGGCTGGAGACAGACAGACCTGCGTCTGCAGGGGAGCTGGGTGAAGAGAACCACAGGCAATCTGCAGCAGCAGCATCTTCTCAGAATACTGTTAACGCAGCGATCTCAACCTGCACCATGTAGAAGAGCAAACGGCACGTGTGGTCACCCACCTGGTGCAGTTCTCCATGGTGCTTCGCTGTGATAAATGAAATAACTGCATAAGGGTACACTCCTTGCTTCATCAGCTGTGCCTGGCTGGGGTGAAAGTACCTACAGCACAGGCAATTGACATCAGCAAACATTTCGTGGCTGCCTCAATGTACAGAGCTTCCTACACAAACTCAC